TAGAGCCAACAATGAGCATTTTGAGCCTTAAAATCATTATTTTTTGGGGTAAAAATGTCTCGAAATGGCTAAAAATCGCATTTTCAGGTCTTTGTGGACCAATTACAGTCAAATTAGAGACTTTCAGAACCAATTTTGAGTCGTTCTACACGATTCTAGGCACATTTTAGCTCATTTTGACGCTAGAAACCCTAGTTTTTTGACTCTTTAAATGTGATTTTGGACACTAAAAATGACATTTTCAGGGGTATAAAACATGAAAATCGCTGAAAAATCACGATTTTTGAGTCATTTTGGGCAATTCTAGCCATATTTTAGCTAATTTTTAAGCATTTTAAGCTTATTTAGGCTTATTTTGAATCGATTCTAGCTCAATTTCAGGTGGTTTTAGACCATTTTAGACCCATTTTTCATGATTTTAATGCTAAAAACCTTGATTTTTCATCATTTTTAGCTTATCTTAACGCTGAAACGCTCGTTTTTAGCTCAATTTAAGACGATTTTTAGCGTATTTTAGCTCATTTAAACGCCCAAAATGCCCGTTTTCCGGCTATTCCCCTTACCATTCAACGCGTTCTCACAGTCCTTCCGGAAATCCCTCTCCAATTCCAGCAAATTATCAGCGCACGCCGCGAGGTGATTATGCCAGACAGCGCCTTCTGGTTGTGGATTCGGATGGGCGTACGGTCCAAATGCCAGGTGAATCGACATTTCCGATGGTTTGAACATGAACATTAGGCGGCGAAGGTGCTGGGGATGGTTCCATTCCTGGCATATCGTGTATTCCAGCTGAAAATTGAGGGTTTTTTGAACTTTTTGGCTGAAAATGACCTAAATTTTAAGAAAATACGGCTTAAAATGACTTTAAAAAGGAAAAAGTGGCTGAAAATCACTCTAAAAATGTAAAAAATCGAATTTCAAGTTTTGAAATTTGAATTCCCGCCAAGCCAGCCTGTCGGCGGGAAATTCAAATTTAAGAGCTTGAAATCGATTTTAAACATCTGAAAATGGCTCAAAATCCACCTGAATGCTCAAAAATTGAATTTAAGGTTTTGAAAATTTGAATTCCCGCCAAGCCAAGTTGAAGGCGCGGGAATTTCAAATTTCAAATTTTCAAAATCGATTTTAGACTACTTTAATGGTTTTAGACATCTAAAAATGGCTTAGAATCCATCTAAATGCTCAAACGTTGACTTTAAAAATTTCAAAATTCGAATTCCCGCCAAGCCAAACTGGCGGCAGGAAATTCAAATTTCAAATTCTCAAAATCGATTTCAGACTGTTTTCCTTGGTTTTAGACACCAGAAAATGGCTCAAAATCCCTCTAAAAGTGTCAAAAATCGATATTGAGAAATTTGAAATTTTGGATTCCCGCCAAGCCAGCCTACCGGCGGGAAATTCAAATTCCAAAGACCCAAAATCGATTCTAGACCATTTTTCATGGTTTTTCGAGCGTTTGGGGCTCAAAATTACGATTTTAAACACTTTTCGGGTCATTTTTGACGCTAAAAATGCCAAAAATTGTCATTTTCAGCATGAAAATTTGTCTGAAAATGGCCAAAAATCGGCTTACCTGTTTACAACTCCACTTTTTGATGAATTGAAACTCGATGAGACAGTCTTCCGCTTCGCATTCCGGGGTATTCTGGGAGAGAATGTAATTTTTTAAGATGAGCAATCGCTCAAAATTGCAGTTTTGGGGTCAAAATCGCTAGTTTTTCAGCATTTTCAGCCAGAAATTGATCATTTCTTACGTTTTTAAAGCTGAATCGTCAAATTTGACCATTTTCAGCTCCAAATTGGTCGATTTTTGGGGTTTTTGGGGTCAAAAATGACCTTTTTCAGTGAAAATTGGCCAATTTTTTCGATTTTTGGGTCAAAAACCCTGTTTTTCCACAATTTTCAGCCAAAAATCGCCAAAATTCTCACATGAAAAACGAGTCGATTGATCGTCGTGCTCTTCGGAATCGAATAAATCCGCGATCGCAACGATTTCCACAGCGGATTGTGGCGGGCGATCCAGTAGTTTCGACGCATCTCGAAATCGCTGAAATTTGGGGGTTTTAGGGGGCTGAAATGGGCTAAAAATGGGCTTAAAATGACCTAAAACCGTCTAAAATTGGCCAAAATCGGTCAAAATTGAGCAAAAATAGTCAAAAAGTCGGCTAAATCTCTCTTGAAGCCTATTTTAGACCATTTTTAGCGTAATTTTTGCTCCAAAATCTGTTAAAGGTCAAATTGAAGCAAAAACAATAAAAATTGGTCAAAAACGAGCCAAAAATATAAAAAATTGACTCGAAAATTCAAATTTCGAACTGCAAACGCCTTGAAACTGCTGTAAAACCGTTTAGGCCTATTTTAGGCAATTTTTAGTGTAATTTTCGCTGGAAAATCTGATTTTTAGCTCAAAATAATGCAAAAATGACTGAAAACTGTCAAAACTCGGCTCAAAATGACTCAAAATGACCTGAAATCGGTCAAAGTCTATTTTAGGCAATTTTGAGCTACTTTAGACCGTTTTAAGCTTAATTTTTGCTCCAAAATCTGATTTTTCAGCTCAAATTGACCCAAAATAGCTGAAAAGTGTATTAAAATGACCTAAAATAGTCAAAAATCGGTTAAAATTGAGCAAAATTGATGTGAAATGGCTAAAAATCAGTCTAAGCTTATATTTTGGATCATTTTCAGCCATTTTCAGCGTAATTTTTGCTCTAAAATCCGATTTTTCAGCTCAAAATGCTCTAAAGTGGCTAAAAATGACCTAAAATAGTTCAAAATCAGTCGAAATTGAGCGAAAATGATCTAAAATAACTTCAAATCGATCTAGGCCTATTTTAGACTGTTCCCAACGTATTTTTGCTCAAAAATAGGCTCAAAATGGTGCAAAAATGGCTAAAAACTGTCAAAAATCGGCTTAAAATGACCCAAATTAGCCAGTAGTCGGTCCAGACCTATTTTTCTTGTTTTAGGTCATTTTTAGCGTAATTTTTGCTCTAAAATCCGATTTTTCAGCTCAAAATGCTCTAAAGTGGCTAAAAATGACCTAAAATAGTTCAAAATCAGTCGAAATTGAGCGAAAATGATCTAAAATAACTTCAAATCGATCTAGGCCTATTTTAGACTGTTCCCAACGTATTTTTGCTCAAAAATAGGCTCAAAATGGTGCAAAAATGGCTAAAAACTGTCAAAAATCGGCTTAAAATGACCCAAATTAGCCAGTAGTCGGTCCAGACCTATTTTTCTTGTTTTAGGTCATTTTTAGCGTAATTTTTGCTCAAAAATCTGATTTTTCGGCTCAAAATGCTCCGAATTGACTCAGAAAGCTTGAAAATAACATAAAATATTCAAAATTTGGCTTAAAACAGCCCAAACTAGCCAGAAATCGGTCTAAACCTATTTTAGGCCATTTTCAAGCGATTTCGGACCATTTCTAGCGCAACTTTTGCTCTAAAATCGCGTTTTTTGGCTCAAAATGCTCCAAATTAACTCAAAAATCACCTACACTGGGCTTCGCGGGGTGAAATACATTGGATACTTCTCTCCATCCACTGTGAACGTCATTGTCAAGTATTCGCCGTCCTGAAAACGATTTTAGGCTCATTTTTCGAATTTTTAAAGGGATTTTAGGCTGAAAATCATGGAAAATCGATTTTTTGGAATTTTTGAAAAATTCGAAAATTCGAAAAAAAATTTTTTTTTTGAAATTTTTTTTCAGAAAATTGACTTTTTGAACATTTTGGGGGTGTTTTTCATGGATTTTCACTAATTTTTAGGTGATTTTCAGCAATTTTCAGTCAAATTTAGCCTACTTACCATCTTAAACTCCCACACATCGATCGTCGGCCGATCCTTTGGCGGATTTTTGAGTTTCGACCACAAAATCGCCGGAAAATTCCGTGTCCCGTTCTGCTCGGCACGTTGCTCCTCGTCGTCCGAGTCCTCTGGTGGCTCCTTCAAAGGCTTGAGGGCGGTTAGGCGGGAATTTGAAAAATTTTGAAAAAAATTTTTTTTTTCAAACAATTGGAAGAAAAGTCATTTTTTTGGGGTGAAAATAGCGATTTTGAAAGGTTTTTGATGACTAAAAATAGGATTTTCAAAGATTTATAGCCCGGAAAATCGAATTTTTAGAAAAAAAAAATTCTGAAATTTTCAGATTTTTGTCTGAAAATTGTACATTCTCATTTCTCTTCTTTTTGGGTGTCTCTGGCGCTTGTCTTCGCTCCTCAACCTCCATATCATCGTCGATTTGCTGAAAAAAATTCAGATAAAATCAAGATTTTCCCAGAAAAAGTTCTTTCCAGATTTTCCATCCTCACCCTGCTCGAGCTGGCGCCACTACTATCCATTTTCTGCAAAAAAAAATCAAAAAATTGAAGAAAATCCCGGAAATAAGCGATAAAATGAGAATTTCAATGGAAAAATGATGGATTTCCGGCGTTTCCGGTGCATTTTAGGCCATTTTTCTTGGATTTTTATGATTATAGATTTTTGATGAGAAAACGATGATTTTGATGGGAAAATCATCGAAATTGGTGTTTCCGGCGCGAAAATTGGTCAAAAATGAGCCAAAAATCGCCAAAAATCGTTTAAAGTGTCGTAATTTAAAATGCATTAAAAGTTCACATCGGTGTTTCACACAACTTTTCGTTGCAGACCGTAATCTTTTCTGAAAACTGGAACTGGCTGAAAATCATTAATTTTCGGCGTTTTTTTCGGGGTGAAAAAAATAGGAGAAAATTATAAAAATTAAGAAATTATATTCAAAAAAATTTTTGCCCAGAAAAACCGCCGAAAATCGATTTTTTCAGGTTACAGTAGCCAACTTTTCCGGGTTTCTGTAACTTTGATCATTTTCATCATATTTAAGACTCCTAGGACACTTAAATGACTGTTAAAAACTGAGAAATTGCAAGAAAAATTTAAAAAATGCTTTTGCTTTCCGAAAAAGACTTATGAACCGTTTTTAACCCAAAAAATTCCTACAAAAATCAATTTTCGTGGTTCAAATTGATTTTTTCAGCAATTTTTAGCATTTTGAACCTTTTAAAATCCAAAAAATCACCCTAAAACCCTCAAAAATAGTCCAGAATAGTTGTTTTTCAATAAATCTTGGGGAATTTTCAATGGAGCGCGTTTGCAACATCAACCTCCTAGGACAAGGGAAAACGCGGGGAAACTGGGGTCAAAATTAATTGGAGAACCCTGGGAAAATTGAAAATGGGTGAACAAAAATTGGAAATTCAAGAAAAATGGAAAATTAGAGAATTTGAATTTGTTTCAAAAAAAAATTTTTTAATAAAAAAAATTTTTTTTTTGAAAAACCTGAAAATTTCAATTTTTCAGGTGTGAAATTCGCTGAAAATCACGATAAAAATAGTTTGAATCCGCAAAAATGTCTGTAAAACTTGGAAAAATCGATTTTTGGGCGTCTCTTGGGAGACACTCTAAGCTCCGCCCCTTTTGGGGAAAGGGGGTGGAGCCTGACTTGGGGGATGAGCAATGAAGTGTATTCCAACCTAGGATTTATTCTGAAGTATTTGAGGGTCCTAAAAACCTTTATTTCCTATTTCAATTTTCAATTTTTTCCATTATTTTCCAATTTTCCCCGATTGCTCAGCTTTCAAATGCCAGAATTGATTAATAGTGCATTCCCTATCTCTTCTCTCTGATTTCTAACTTCCCCCCCCCCCCCCCTACCCCGTAAAAATGCCAACTGTTCAGTTTTAGTGGGGTCCCTGCCCCTTGTTACACTGTCTTTCTCTATTTCTCTGCGTCTCTCTATCCCAAACACTCTCTCACCCCTCTATTTTCAATTTTCAAACCGCCCGAGATCACTTGAAAATCGAGACATGTGCTTTTCATCTTCATGTTAACCCCTTTCTTTGGATTTTTGTCCTTAAATTGCATATTTCATCCTGTTATCATCAATTTTTCTTGGTTTTTGATAAGTTTTTCAGTGCAAAACACACTTTTTAACCCCCAGGCACCGTCTAGACAGTATAGAAATTAATTAAAAAGAAAACAAAAAGAGAATACTACCCAGAGGAATTGAACTCAAGAGTGTGTTTTTCAAAACAAGCTTTGTTAGCCAGTAAGCCACGGGTGCATAGATCGAAGAAGTGGTGGAGTGCGTATAGGAAGGTGGCATTTTCGGTGGCGGCGACGGCGAGGAGGAGGGTGGAGGCCGCCGCTCTGTGGGCGCCACTCACCTGCGGCCTAGTGGCTAACACCCCTGTCTATCAATCTCATCACCCAAGTTCGATTCCTTCCGGGGTTCAGTCTCTTTTGCTTTTTGTGCTGAGCGCGGTAATCAGTTTCAGAGCTCTCAGAACCTCATTTTTCAAGACTTTCTCAATTTTAGGGAAAAAAAATTGAGTTAAAATCTAGAATTCAGATCTTCCTTCTACTCGGTAAACCATGAAATTTCTCTCCTCTTTCTCTTCTGAATCGAAAAAAGAAGAGAGATTCACAATTTTTTTTTGTTACCCCCCGCAAAAAAAGAAGAAGCATGTGTGAAAGAGTAAAAAAAAAGAGAAAAAAGTGTCAGAATAAAAAGAAGAAAGTAGAGATTTTCGAGATTAAGAGACGCAGACATACAGACACTTCAAAAATGTTTCCATTCAAAAAAAAATGGGGCCCGGGGTCTCTCTCTGTGTGTGGGCTCCTCTTCAAAAAAATTTGCTTCTTCTTATAGAAAAGATGTGCAAAACTTTTTTTTTCTTTTTTTTTGGTTTCTCTCTCTCTCCCTCTCTTGGTGTCAATCGGTCCATTGGGACGTTTTTCTTGGGAATCGAGACCCCCACTATACGCTGTTTTCCTTTAAAATCTTCAGAATTTGCTTATTTTTAATATCTGCTATCATATAACGCTTCTAGACACCATAACAATAGCCAAAACAAAAAACAAAAAGAAATTAGCGCCATGGGGAATTGAACTAGGACGTGTCAGATTCATAAACAAGGTTGTTAGCTACTCGGCCAGGTGCACAGAAGGGGGTCTCTTGTGGTGGAGGGCAATGATATAGGTGCGCAGTTTGGTGGTGGCGGCGCCCTCACCTTCCTGTACGCCTGTGGTGGGAGAAGACGCGCCGCTCACCCATGGCGCAACCGGTAACAGGCTTAACTACTAATCTCAGGACCCGGGTTCGATTTTTTCAACTTCTCATTTTCTTTTGATTTTTTCGCTGTGTATAGTAACCTAGTTTAGAAATCCGTGCAACTTTGATAACCATGTTTCCTTGATTTTTGTCTTGAAAATCTCCATTTTTAATGTAATTTTTCCAGATAAGGCTCATCTATGAGCTCTCATGTCACACTTTCTCCTGATCTTACTACTATACTCATATCTTGGTAAGCAAAGACCCCTAAAAATTAAGCCCCGCCCCCTTTATTTTCCAGAATCCTTCGAATGTTACGATAGCTGCCTCCATTATCGATCGACGTGCCTACGAAACGAGACGTGTAATCATCATCTGAAACGGTTTCAGACAACTTGTGGTTATGAATTGAATGGTGGGTCTTGGAACCAGCAAATTCGCTCCATTGAGATTTTTTTTAAAATTACAGTATGCTCCGGAACATCGCCATCCGACTGTGTCTATCATTTGCACCGGATACGGGACACTTTTCCTACAAAGACCTGCACATGTTATGAAGCTATTGGTAAAAAAAAAATTTTTTTAATTAAAAAAATTTTTTTTTCAAAAATTTCAAAATTTCAGGATTCTCCGAAGAATGTGATTTTTTTCGCCAAATCATCTGGAACCACCCTTGTGAACGTAAATTGAAAGACGTCGGAGAGGAGATCAAAATTTCGCATCGGTAAAAATTTTCGAAAAAATTTTCTTATCCGAATTTTTCCAGAAAACTCATGCAAATCAAACCGAAACCTGCTGAAATTTTGTCTGAAAATGTGCCGAAACCAGTTTTCGGTGGCGGTGAAAAACGACGAACAACAAGGACGCCCGTAGCTGATCAGATACATCAGTGGAAGCGGCAGCTGAGTGGTGGTGAGCGTTTTTGAGCCTTAAATTACCTGAAAATCAGTTTTTCATTATGAATGTTATATTTAAAAAAAGCCCGTTTAAAATGACACATTTTAAGCTAAAAATCAAGAAAAACGGATAAAAATTAAGACAGTTATGGGGTGTTGAAATTTTTCAGACTGCAAAAAAGGTTAGAATTACTGTAACTCAAAAATATTCAAAAAGTTGAAATGTGCTATTCAAGAGTTTTGAAATGAGTATAACCATGACCTAGTTTGGAGAATTTTGAAAATCCCCAATTTTTTGGGTTCGAATACGAAAGGTACCGTAACTCGCTTAGTTTTCAACCAAACTGAAAAATGGTATTAGATTCTAATTTAGAACGTTTTCCCGGTTCGAACGAGTATAATCATGACCTAGTTTTGAAATTTTCATTTTTTTTTGGGTCCCACCTCGAATATCAAAAAAACTACCGTAACTCGCTTAGTTTTAGTTCCCACTCAGAAGTGTTTGCATATTTGAATTTTTCAAATTAAGAGCTTTAAAATGAGTATAATCATGACCTAGTTTTGAGAAATTCGAAAATTTCCATATTTTATTGGGTCTTATCACGAAAACTACCGTAACTCGCTTAGTTTCCAACTAAATCAAAAAATTTTGATAGATTCAAGTTAACAACGTTAGGGCCTTTCAAATGAGTATAATCATGACCTAGTTTTGAAAAATTTCAAAATTCCAATATTATGGGTCCCACCACGAAAAATCCCCGGAAATTCAAAGTTAACCGAATCTAGTCGTGTTTGGGCTCATTTTGAAGCTCTTCATCTAACAAAGCTGGAAATCACATTTTCAGACCTCACAAAATCGACAATTCTTCAAAAAACGTGTGATGCAGCTTTATACCAAGTGTGCCTAAAACATGTCTCCTGTGCTCAATTATGGTCCATGTTTCGAAAAAACTGCGATGTGGACCAGGATAATCAGTGTCGAATGGTGGATCGAGAAGTGTGTTGGCAGAGTTTCGAAGGTCTAACATGGTCCGGTTTGGGCGATTGCCAGTGTACCTCGTCAAACTCTTCGGATTGCCATTGGATTCGGTTGCATACCAATTATAATAAATGTATATGTAAGTTTTCTTTTATCTAAAAAGGATGAGCAGAACATTTCTGATTTTTTGAACCTAAAACTATCAAAAACGGTTGGAAAAGAAGCAAATTAGGTCAAAATTAAAAATGGGCCCAATTATTTCCGAACAGTTCAAAACTAAACTGGTCATAATTTGACCAATTTCTTTCGGAGCTTCACAATTTTGTCATTTTTGACATTTCCATGTTACAAGCTTCAAAATGAGTATAATCATGACCTAGTTTCAAAAATTTTGAAAATTTCAATTTTTGATTCCCAATCATTTTTTGAGTGTAAAATGACCATAACTTGGGTTATTTTTGTCGGAACTAAGAAATTCTGCCATTTTTGAATTTGGAATGTTAAGGGCTTCAAAATGAGTATAATCATGACATAGCTTACAAAATTTCAAAATATCGATTTTTGGTTCCTGAAAATCTTAAAATCTGAAATTTTATAAAACTGGGTCATGAGTATACTCATTCGATTCGTTTTCATGAATAAAACTCAAAACTGTTGAAATTTTTCGGTTTGGTCAAGAAACAACCGAGTTACGGTAGTTTCGTGGTGGGACCTTAAAAATTACCAATTTTCAAAATTTTCAAAACTAGGTCATGATTATAATCAATTTAAAGCTTTTGATCTCCAAAATTCAAAAAACAATGTTTCAATACGATTGGCGGGAAATTCAAAAAGTTACAGTAACTTTAAATATTTGGAAATTAAAAAAAAAAAAATTCAAAACCCCTTAACTTTGCTCATTTTCATCCGATTTTTGTGATTTTGGGCTTCAAATGTGTGATTTTTTTAGCTTTTTTATATTCTTTAATGAATGTATTTTTTGTTTCAGACGAAATCTCAAAATCCGGTCGATTCCCAGTGCTCCAGACGCTGGCTCAGCGGACGCGTGAAGATCGGGAGAATGAGCAACGAATGATGAGTGAGCAATATCAGCGAAGATATGAGAATCGACAACAGAATGGTGAGATTGTTTTCTGACAAAACTTAAGATCTGAAAATCCTGGAAAAATCAGAAAAACAATTTTTTTTTCCAGAATTTTTGGGGAAAAATCAGATAAACTACCGTAACTTGGTCAATTTTGAGAATTTCAAACTGAAACTCAAAATTTTTAGTATGTCTTGTCAAGAACTTCAAAATGAGTATAAGCATGGCCATGTTTTAAAAAGTTCTTTTTTTGAGAAGAAATTTGAGGTCCCACCACGAAAATCACTAAAACTACAGTATCTCCGTTGGTTTCAAAGCGAATCAGATGAATTTTTTTGTGTTCAACTCAAAATTTGATGAGCTTCAAAATGAATATAAACATGACCTAGTTCTGAAATTTTCGAATTTTTGGGTCCCACCACGAAAATCACTAAAACTACAGTATCTCCGTTGGTTTCAAAGCGAATCAGATGAATTTTTTTGTGTTCAACTCAAAATTTGATGAGCTTCAAAATGAATATAAACATGACCTAGTTTTGAAATTTTCGAATTTTTGGGTCCCACCACGAAAATCACTAAAACTACAGTATCTCCGTTGGTTTCAAAGCGAATTAGATGCATTTTTTTGTGCTCAACTCAAAATTTGATGAGCTTCAAAATGAATATAAACATGACCTAGTTTTGAAATTTTCGAATTTTTGGGTCCCACTACGAAAAACACTAAAACTACCGTATCTCGGTTACTCTTCGAGCGATTTCAATGACATTTTTTGTGTTTTATTTGAAATTTTTTAAACTTTAAGGTGAGTATAATCATGGCTATGTTGATATTTTCATTTTTTGAGAATTTTTTGGGTCCCAAATCTGAAATTTTCAGAACTCATTCTTCGGGAAGTGCCTACGACGACTAGCACAACCACAACAACTACCACAACTACACCTCGACCTACAACCACAACTACAACTACAACAACTACAATACCCCCTCCAACACGCTCACCTCCTCCGCCTCGAGCTCCGCCCGCAACTACAGTACCTCCATGGTGGTCGCAACCTGCGACACAATTGCCACGTCATCGAGACACATCATATAGACAGAATAACTTCCGGCTGAAGGCTGTTATCGATCCGCCAACGACGACGATGGGATACGCGTGGCAAGAATATCAAGGACCCAAAAAAGAAACGCCTGAAATGTTCAAACCCAAAAGGACCAGTGCTAGTGAGTATTGTTTTTTTTGAAAATAGAAAAATTCCAGATAGTTTAAACAGAAAATCTTTAAAATCGGATGAAAACTGAGAAAGTTATGGGGTTTTGAAGCTATTTTTCAAAATTTTAGTCAATTTTCAAATTTTTCTTTTTGAAAATTCATGGGAACTCAGACGTTTGTATAAATTTGAATTTGGCTTGTCAAGAGCTTCAAAATGAATATGATCAGACCTAGCTTTGAAAAATTTGAATTTTCACGTCTTCTGGGTCCCACCACGAAATCGCTAAAACTACCGTATCTCGGTTAGTTTTGGTTCAAACTCAAAAATTTTAAAAGATTTGAATTTTGCGTTTTAAGGCGGTTTTAATGAATGTAATCACGACCTAGTTTTGAATATTCTGAAAATTTCGAATTTTTAGGTCACACTACGAAAAACACTAAAACTACCGTATCTCGGCTAGTTTTTGAGCTTTTCTAATAAAACATTTTATGGTCAATTTGAAATTTTTTAAGCTTCAAAATGAGCATACACAAAGCATATGCCTAAAATTTTTGAAATTTCACTTTTTTTCGTGGTGAGACCCAAAATATTCAAAATTTCAAAAATCTCAAAACTAGGTCATGATTATACTCATTTTGAAGCTCTTCTTTTGCAAAAATTAAATCTGTAAAAAATTTTAATCTTAGACAAAAACTGTGCGAGTTACGGTAGTTTTTCTGTTTTTCGCATAAAAATTAACTAACTCGTCTAATTCTACTCCGATTTTTGTGGTTTCTGGCTTAAAATTTTTCTGAAAAAAATGAAAATCTTTTGAAACTACCAAATTCAAATTTCCCGCCAAGCAAAACACAAAAAACCAACAAAACAGCGAAGAACTTCTTCAATTGAAAAGCTAATCATAGTCGTTGTCGTTTCAAGTGGCGGCGCCACCGAAGACCCTCTTATTTCCATTTTTCGCACTTGAATTTTGATTTTTAAGTCCTCTTTTCAGGCTCGAGACAAGAAAATTTCAGGGTCCCAAACATTTTTTTTTGGCTGAAAAATTTTAAAATTTTTTTTTTTTTCCAGAAAAAAAAGTTGATCCCTCCTAGAATAAGACACCAAAAAAACATGATAATCCTTGGTTTTTGCCGTTTTTCCAGTTTTTTGTGGTCCCAAAAAGTATTTCAAAAAAAAATTTTTTCGAAAAAAATTTTTTTTTTGAAAAAAAGAAACAAAAGGTGTGATTTTTCGACCCCCAAAAAAGTTAGAGAGAGAGCAAGAGACGCAGAGAAAAAGACAAGAAAAGAGTCGCACTTTTTTTCCCGTTTTCTCTCTTTTCTCTTTCCCTCGGAAAAATAGGCCACGCCCACTTTTCACCTTCTTCTGAAGAGCCCCCCGCCTTCTGTTGTTGTTGTTGTTATTGTCTTACTTTCTCTCTATTTCCTTATTCTAGTTTTTTTCTAAAAATTATTTTTTGAAAATGTAAAAGAACATGAAATTCATAATAATACCACTATTTATACTACCCATATTGGCCACAGCTGGGTTTCAAGGCGATGAGGAGGGTAAGAAAGGGCTTCAAAAAGAAGCAAAAATGGATTGGCTACAGTTTGCCCACAAGAGGAATCGAACCCCTGACCTCTAGATTGGTAGCCAAAAGCGTTGTCACTGCGCCATAGTGCACACTGAGGTTAAGGCGACCGAGTGCGTTAAGAGAGCGCGGATTTTGGTGGCGGCGGAGGCGCCGCCATTCTTGTTTTGAACGCCCTTGGTGGCGTCGCACACACTTGGCCTAGTGGCTAACACTGCTGGCTTGCAATCTCAAGACCCGGGTTCGATTTCTTCCTAGGGCCAATCTTTTTTTGCTTCTTTTTTTGTATGTTTAGTAGATTTGAAATCGCTTCTAGGCTTTTTAAAAGACAACTTTCAGATTTTAAGATCTATTTTTGCTATTTTTATGAAGTATCGTGCAAAATGAAGCCATATCTCAAAAAATTAAGTTATTCTGAGCGAAAAGAGTAATCTCACGGTCTCTGACGACCAGTTTCTCACGACTAGAAACAATTTTTAGTATAAAAATAGCCTTGGAAAGTGCAATAGAGCGAATCCTCCGAGTTTTCCTAACTTAAATTTTTCAACACAAAAATTGATTTTATAATTTCCAAAAAGTGCAAAAATTCAAATTTTCCAGGATCCTCGTGCCCCGATGCCATCCGTCGCTGCGAATCCGTCGATGAGTGTCGCTGGCATCTTGGAGAGCTTCGGGTCCGTTGCTCAGCCACTGCCACGTGTAAACGAGAGGAGTGTGCGGCGGTAAGTGTGCTCTATTGGACACTATTGCTTTAGAGTCTTCAACGACGACATTTGCTTCAGAGTCTTCAACGATTCTCAATGTATGTTCCATTCGCGTTGGTGGAGAGTATCATGTTTTGTCATTGTGCGCCAGAGGATGAGAATTGTTTGATGCAGCAGGTAAATTCTAAAGAGCCAAAAAAAATCCCCCCAAAAAATTGAAAAACTACTTTTAATTGTGCTAGAAAAACAAAAATAGTATCAAAATAACTGGTAAAAAAAGCAAAAAATATTAAACCTTTGAAGGAATTGAACTTTGGTGTTGAGATTGGTATTCGAGAGTGTTCGCCACTAGGCTACACGTGCAGTGGCGCGTCGGCGCCACCAAGGGTGTACAAGAAAGGGAGAGCGGCCGCTGCTACCTGGGTGGGCGCCAGTGGCGCCTCGCCACCACCCTCTTGTACGCCTTTGGTGGGCGCGCCGCGCCTTGCACCCTTGGCCTAGTGGCTAACACTCCTGACTGTCAATCTCATCACCAAAGTTCGATTCTTTTGTGGGCCCAATATTTGTTGCTTTGTTTACTTGTCATTTTGGTATAGTTCCCGTTAGCTAGTTTTTAAGCTGTATTTTCTAAATTCTCGATCTTTTTTATAGAATTTTCCCCTAAAGCCATGTTCCCCAAGTCATAAAAACATCGTTTACTCTATTTATTCCTTCTCCTTTCTCCTTATATTTTTTCTTCCCCATCTTCTTTTCCATTTAGCCTCCGCCGTCCTTCTTATTCTCCTTGGGAGTGAGTTTCCTGGAGAAGAGAGGAGCAATAAAAATGGCACGGCGCCCGTAAAATTCTGGCAATAAAATGAAAATAGAGTCGTCGGGGACTCCCGACTCGGCGAGAGTCTTTGAGAAATTGGAACCTATTTCTCTAGAAAACATTACATTTTTAAGTTTTCAACACCCCAAAAAAAACCTGAAAACAATCATCAGAAATTCATGAAGGAAATTGGGGAAATTGGAAGTGCAAAAGTGATTTCCGAGAGGAGAGAAAAGAGCCTGAAGTCATCAAAAAATAAACCCAAAAATTGGAAAACTACTTCAAAATGGTCCTAGAAGCATTAAAGTAGTGTCAAAATGACAGGTAAAAAAAGCAAAAAATATTGGGCTCTCGAAAGAATCGAACTTTGATGTTGAGATTGGNCNNC